AGTGTAAAATTGACTGAATTTTAATGCCTCTCTGGAAAGGATGAGGAAAGGAAAGGATACAACTGCATCTTCTTTCCTCTCAGCCTCCGACAGCAAAACTCTCTGATTTTAAACAACACRGATCTTCCTGTGAATTCTATCAGATGATTCTTGGGCAGAAAGACCGACTGAACGCAGTCCACAGAAAAGAACAAGAGCTGTGACTTCTCAAACCAAAAGTTCACCACATAAGAGCAAATTGTGGTGAAGAGAAACCCCTGAAAAAACAAACTCCAATGAGTTCAGGTCACTGACAGCTGCAAAGACAAAATTACTTTCAGAGACGATTTATAAAAACAGAAATTAATGTGACAGAGATGTGTAAACATTACTAAAATATATCACTTGCTGCCTTTTATGCCAGAAAATTGAATTATTTTATGCTGAAAATTGATGACCTGTTTTGGTCATCTGTGGTTAGATATTTGTTTAATGATTATGTCCTAAATTTTAATTTGTCATCCTTCTAGAAGGCGACCTATGACCTATAATGGTCAAAGGTTTTCTAGTGACCACCGAGGACACAACTCCTATTGGTTTAATGAAAATAATGTAGTTAATTCCTGAAGATGTAATAAAAATCTGTCAGATATTTTGTAATGAAAAGAGCAAAGCTGCATTCATGTTCACGTCCATGAACAGCAATAGTCTTGGGGGCCCTCTGGTGGTTGCAGGGCCCTCAGATGTTTCCAGCTGACCAAGAGAAAAGGTGAGTTATGGGATAAAACTAATTACAACACACAAATAAAATGATCAGATTTATACAGGTATATAATTATGTATGAGAAAAAAGAAGATGAGACCATTTGGAACTAAATCCAGACCTCATTCCGCCTCTTGTGGACACCTAGGTTGGAAGTTGTCCATTCACATTTATTTCAAATGAAATCATGACATTTGTTTGGTTTTTTTTTAAGCCTCCTAGAAGACATTTTCTGAGAGATGGACAGGCTCACATGCTCCAACGTTTGTCTCTGTTTAATAGGATTAACACACATCAACCCCGGGGCAACAGATTCCTCATTAGATTAATATGAACATCATGGAGAAGGAGGCAGAGAATAAAAGGGGCCTCTTTGTCCACGAGGGCAGCAGAATCCCAGAACAACTTCCTGTTTGAATGCTAGATTAAAAAGAGTTATGTGTTTTTGTGTCTGTTAGCAAAATGTCTCCTGAACCACCGAATGCAATGAGACTCTCATAAAGAAGTTACTGAATGTACATCTGCTACTGATTAGTTTTTCATGGTCACTTGCCAACACAGAAATGGTAATAATTCAACCACTTGTACAATATTAAACTGAAATTTGTTGTGGTATTAACTGAGACTATTTCACAAAACATACTCTGAGCATAACATCACAGTTTCAAGGTTTTACCACAACTTTGTCATTTCTCTACATAAGATAAAACTCTGCAAAGAAAGGCAGCACAGTCATTATT